GTAACACCCCAGGTGTTTGCCACCAGTTAAGCAATGGGTTTGAGCTAAAACATGGTATATTAAGTGATGATGAAGATGTCAAGGTCAACCTATGGAATTGAGCCCCGACCTAAACTTGGATATTGCACCCTTGCTTTACATATAGGCCCTTTTCAAGATATATGCTTGGGTGGTGTGATTGGGATATATTCATGTGTCTCACATCAATACCCATCTATATTGGACACTCAAAAAGTTTCATGCAGTTTGAAATCAAAAAGTCACATGAAATGATAAGTTATATCCTTGTTGGAATGATTTTACTAAGTGCTTGAATTGCACTATTAAGTGAATGAGAACATGAGATGTCAACCAAACCTTGCAACCTTGCCAAAATGACTCTAGATGAACTCTACAACAAAAGTCATGAAAGGTTCATGTTGGGCAAATGCCAAGAAAATGCTCCAATGGATCAAAAAGGATAATTTAAGCTTCATCGTGATCCTACTTTGGTCAAAGTAGAACAGTAGGTTCTATACCATTTTTGAGGTTGGACCTTAAATGAAAGTTGTAGTACATATCATGTAGAACAAACTTTGTTTTTGGACCAAGAGCTAGATCAACTTGGAAATAAGTCAAACAGAGGCTCGAAGTTGGAACCTGCTGCTGATTTCAACACTTAGAATTATTCTAAGTCCGAGTTTCGCTAAAGCAACGACGTTGGCATTCCGCGTTCTCCAAATTTTGTTAAGCAACTTGATTTGGTACAAAAACAAAAGTTGGAGTTTACACCTTGGTGAAGAGCATACAAAAGTTGGATTCAGTTTGAAGAAGTTTTGACCACCGAAAGCGAGTTTCCGTGACTACCGGTCAAGGTGTTGACACATCTGCTTTTGACATACATTTATCTTCTAATATGTTTTGCTAATGGCTGAACCCCTTAATGAAAAAACGTAGAGCTTCGTGCGGGCTTCGATCTTCAGATTCGCCCAGGTCCTGATTCGGCCTGGAAATAGCCCAAAATCGTGTCCCACGCTGATCCCGTGTCGCCACCAACTGTTCATGCGAAAACGCCCCAACGGACGACACGCTACTCAGACGTGGTCGCCATGCGCCTCCGCGCCACGCTGCGTCCCACCTTTTGGCCACGCCTGCGCGCTCTGCCACTGATGAGGAGGGGGGCACCAAGACGCCTCTCCATCCCCTCTCCACTCCTCGCCGCTCCCTCTCGCTCTCCGAGCTCACAGTGCAGTGCCAGCCGAAAAGCCAACATGGGCGCCGCCAGCATTGAGCTTGCCAGCCGTCAAGGCCCTCGCCGCCTCCGAGCTTCCTCGCGCGCCACCATCTCCGCCTCGCCTCTCCTTCTCTCCTCGGCGCTTGTCGCGATCGAATTCCGAGAGCAAGCCAGCCGCCGCGGTCACCTTGACGCAGTGACCTCACGTGGGTCGGGCACCACGAGCCCTCTCCCGGCCGCCTCCAACCACCAAAGCAGCGCAAGGGCCCCTCGGTGCTCCCCTCCCCTCAGCCGCCGACGACGTACCTTCTCCGGCCGCAAGCAAGCAAGCTCCGCCATCCTCTCGCCTCTGCTTTTTCCGACCAGGGACCTCACGCAGCAATTCGACTAAAGGGAGGGGTGTAACTGCAATGTCATAGACTCAGGTGAATAGTGCCATAAGGACTGGTTTGTAATTATTTTGCATGAACTTTGGAAATTCATAGTAAATCATAGAAAATTCGTAAAATAGTAAATGAGGACTTTTTGGAATCCTTGTAAAATTGTCTATGCAGTGGATCTATAATATGGCATGTTTTAGTTTAAATATTTTGCGGTAAAAATAGATTTGTGCAGTAAGGTTGTAATGCTAGTTGAATTTGTTATTTTTCATAACTGTAGATCTAGGGCTCCAAATGAAGTGAAATTTTTGTGGCATGCTACTCATGTGATAGTTGATGTGTGGTAAAAATTTCATGAGTATTGGATGAAGTATGAGTGAGTTATTGGTTTATCTTGCTCTCACATGAATTCTTGCTTTAGCAACTTGTTTTTTCATAGAGGTTGCTATACATATCCAAATGGAGTGAAATTTGTATAGTAGACTATTGAGAGGATATGTGAGCCACTGTAATTTTTGTAGAAGTTATTGTGCACTTTTGGTATATGTTCATTAAGTCACCTTGTTATCTAAAATAAATTAAGAAATGCATTAAAAGAATTTATTTGGTCATGGACACTAGGTTTTCTGGTGTTCTTTAGTCATGTGTGAAATGTTGGTAAAGTTGGTTTTGCCCAATTATGTGTTTGCAACATAAGTTAATATTTATTTTCTTGCAAATGTGGTTTTTGGACAGATCTGAGAACTTAGCAAAGTTCTTCATGATAATGTGCTTTGTTGTGAAACTTGTTTATACAAAAGTTGTAGATAATTCATGTATCTAGCTTCTATTAAAATTTGGTGTCATTTGGCCAAGTAGTTTAAGAGTTACAGCTGTTTAAAGTTGGATTTCAGAAATGACTGTTTTCTGTCAATTGTGGACCAGTTTTTGTAAATGGATATATTTGACTTAGTTAACTTGAGAATCATGCTAAGATGATTAAATATGAATTGTAGAAAATTTCATAAGATTTCGATAATGTCTTCTTGCAAGTCATTTGGATTTGTGTAACTCCAGTTATAGCTAAATCTTGGAGCTGCTGTTTGCATGTCCAGAAATTGGTAGATTCCAATTATAGTGCTTGCTTGTATATTGATAAGTGTGACGTATGCCTTGAATGATGACTGAGTTAGAGCACTTGAGATCTGGGGAAACTTGTGTCATGATTGGTGTTGTCGTCTTCTTTGCCATCTTAGCATGATAGATTGTGTGATGTTTAAGTTAAGCATCGCAAAGTACTTAAGTGTGTTAGTGTAAACTATGCTTGTCTTGCTTGCTATTTTGTGATGTGTCTCATAGTACTATTCTTCATATTTATGCACTTGCATATTGCATCTCATCTAGGTACGCTAGATGAACCACGTGAAGGACGTGATGTTGGAGCCGAACCCAAAGACGATGTATGGAGGATCTATCCCAAGATGGAAGGACTAAGCAAGTGTTAGGACCTATGATGTCACCGGATTTGTGCAAGCTAACCTGAATCGACTTATGGCGGATCCCGTGCAAGCCCCGGAGCATTATAAGTCTCCTAATTATAAAAGCAATTCTTTTTCTATATACGAGTTATATATTGTTGCATTAAGTTGTAGGAGTTGATTGAAACCGTTGATGCATTTATTACTATCCTTGCCTACCTTATTACCTTTTTACCTTGTTAGGTCAGGATCGAATAACTGCTTAGCCTTGCTTAGACCGGTAGCGATCGGAGATATTCGGTCACCTACATTATAGATGGTTACTGGAAGAATTTAGCTATGGAAAGAATGATATCCTGGAATTAACCATGTGTGATGGATAATTGGAGACCGGACGGAAAAAGTTGGAGGCAACCAGACAGGGTTCTGGGGTGCTGTTAGTTTCCGTCTGTGTCGATTAAGGACCGACCGTTGTTGGGCCTCGAGTCATGTTGAACGCATGCCTTACATTTAGCTGGCCGGATAAAGTACCTTCCGACCGCGAAGCTGGGAGATTTTTTGGGCCGAGTAGATTGCCCGTAGCGCACTGTGCCGGAGTAGGTGTGGTAGGACACGGGGGCGAGATGATAAGACCAAAGTGCAGTCGGTCGGCCCCCGGGTACATGTGGTTCCTGGCAAACTCGAGATTCCTGGAAAGTTGACTCGGTGATCAATATCTCACTTTAGCGGGTGAGTGAGGTTTGTGTAAGGAACAAATCACCAGCTGATTTTGAATCGATTCGAATCGCCATCGCTCTCCCGGATAGTGAGCACTTGACTCGAAAGCATCGCATCGTAGTAATTATTATGGAACAATGATGGTTATCTGGATGGTATGGGATATGCTAAATCTAAATTGGTAACTAGATGTTATTGGTTAATCAAGTGATTGCTATAGTACGTGTGCTTACCTAGATGGATAGGCCATAATAAAGATGATGCAAAGTACTTAAAATGGTTTCTTCATGATAGCTTATGCTTTTCGCAAACAAAGTCACCTAGCCCACTAAAGAAAGCCTTGCATGATCCTTGGTGTCATTTGTTTTGGTTTCGACGGGTAAGTCCGGCCGAGTACATTCGAAAGTACTCGTGGATTTATCCCACCTTGTTGCGGTGATGTTCTCGACTGCTGATGATGGTGGCTAACCACCGTGGGCTCGGTGATTCTATACTTACTTCTCATCTATATGCTTTTGTCGGATGATGTCACTATGCTAGCAATATATTTGAAACTTATATTAATGTAATCATTTGAAAGCTATGTTGTTTTCACTAAGCGGTTTTGAAACCCCAAACTTGTACTACTAATTGTTAACTCCTTTGTAATATTATTTCCGCTGCAACCCGATGTATGTGATGTGTATTTGCTTAATCACTCGATCTTGGTTGTGATGTTGATTTACCGAGGTCTTTCGGGAGACTCGGCGGACTACCGGGTTTATATGAGTGAAAGTATGGGTGTGTCAACGTGTTAGCGGGGACAACCGTACTTGATCTTGTATAAATTGGGCGGTACTCATGGAAAAAAAACTATGTGCAAAAATGCCAAACCGCTGTCTGTAAGCGGAAAACCCGGAACCGCCCCGCTGCGGCGCTGCCGCCTGCCGTGTACCAGCGAGAGCGCGGCCCGCGGCCGGCACCGTTACCCTTCCAGGAGCGCCATCGAAGCAGCGCCAGCGGTTGCCGTAAAGCGGGCAGCCGGGCACACACGCTCCCACAGTCCCACTCCCCTTCTCCAGTCTCCACTCCACTCCCGAGTCCCGACTCCCGTTCCCCTCCCAATTCCCAAAGGCCAAAGCCCACCAAACCAAAGCCCTCCTCTGCTCCTCCGCTCTGCTCTGCTCCGGCCAAATGTGCGATTAGCGCCGCCCGCGAGATCGATCCCCGCGCGGCCAAGGATCGCCCGCCGCCATGGCGTCCTCGCAGGGGGAGTCGGTGCCCCCGTGGCTCAAGTCCCTCCCTCTGGCGCCCGAGTTCCGCCCCACCGCTGCCGAGTTCGCCGACCCCATCGCCTACCTCCTCAAGATCGAGCCCGCCGCGGCGCCCTTCGGCATCTGCAAGATCGTGCCACCGCTCCCGCCGCCGCCCAAGCGGACCACGCTCGGTAACCTCTCCCGCTCCTTCGCCGCGCTCCACCCGGACGATCCCACCCCGACATTCCCCACCCGGCACCAGCAGCTTGGCCTCTGCCCGCGCCGCCCGCGGCCCGCGCTCAAGCCCGTGTGGCTCTCCTCCCACCGCTACACGCTCCCCAAGTTCGAGGCCAAGGCCGGCGCCTCCCGGAAGGCGCTGCTCGCGCGCCACAGCGTCCCCGCCTCCAAGCAGCTCTCGCCGCTCGACGTCGAGGCGCTCTTCTGGCGCTCATCGGCCGACCGCCCCGTCGTCGTGGAGTACGCCAGCGACATGCCTGGCTCCGGGTTCGCCCCCTGCGCTGCCCGCCCGACGCAGCTGCCCGCGGCGAACGTGGGCGAGACGGCGTGGAACATGCGCGGTGTCGCCAGGAGCCCCGCCTCTCTGCTGCGCTTCGTGCGGGAGGAGGTGCCCGGGGTCACGTCGCCGATGCTCTACGTCGGCATGATGTTCAGTTGGTTCGCCTGGCATGTTGAGGACCACGACCTGCACAGCCTCAACTACATGCATTACGGGGCTCCCAAGACGTGGTACGGGGTGCCGCGCGACGCTGCGCTCGCCTTCGAGGAGGTGGTGCGCGTCCATGGATATGGCGGGGAGGTGAACTCCTTAGGTGAGGCACCCGCATTGCATCGTTTTCTCTGTTCTCTGCTATTGTAACTGTCGCTTGATTTTGTATTTCGGAATTTTGATCTGGGGTGCAGAAACCTTTGCAATGCTGGGTGATAAGACGACGGTGATGTCCCCTGAAGTGCTCGTGGATTCAGGGATTCCCTGTTGCAGGTGTTTCTATTGCTTCCTTCCTTTACCGAATGACTTCCTTTGATACCTTCGGTGGTTGATGAACTG